ATATATATATATTCCGAAATCATCTATTGTTAGTTTTAAAGATATGGCAATAAAGGAGTCTAAATTAGCAAACTTGTAGAAGCCATAACTGATAAAACAGCTTATTGAAAAAAGGTGGCAGTAATGCACTCTATGTGTGCACAAGTACGTAAGAAAATACACAGACGTATAAAATTGCACGCACACACTCACGCACACACATCCTTCCACACACCTCTATGCTCACGCATATACATATAGACAACAGGAGGAGTTAGAGACAAGTTAGAATTTGATTTGTACTTTGATCAGCCCTAACCTGTGCATAAAATAATGGAAAAAGGCTGTATTTCTGCAGGGCAGAATGGCCTAGACTGGGACTCGAGAGCATGAACGTTTTGGTTTGGAGTTTGGGTTATTTCAGTCCCGGTAAGAGCCCGTCCGGTCATTGCCACGTACTCTTTATCCACGCAAAAATAAGCTTCCCACAACTAAAACGTATTTAAAATCAGTGCTTGTGGTGGGAAGAGAGTCAGCGAATGGCCACCAACAGCAGGAAAAGGTCTCTATGTGAGGCAGCTCCCGTCCCCTCTTAGTGGTGTGTGACAGCAATCGTACACGTGAACTACACTTTAATCCATTCCAGGTAAGCGGAATATTTTGGGTTACGGAATAAGTCCCCGAAGTAGCAGGCTGAAATGTTACTGGCCAACATTTTTTGGAGCGATCTGTCTTTACTGAAAGGAAACTCTGTACACTACGACCCAAGTGAAATGATCAAGTACATGCTGCTTCTAAGTTGTCTCCTAAACCTCCTAGATATGAGGTCTGATCAGCGTGCTCTGTGGTTAGAGGTTAAAAAGCAGATTATAAAATACCTAGATTCAGATTTTTTTTTTGTCCTGATTTGGCCTAAAATGGAGTGTATTAAACAAATTCTGGTCTGCAAAAGACCAGAATCAGTTAAAGCTATGAAACAATGTGCACTACGTGTCAATATTCTATTTCACTTACAAGAAAACACTAAGTCAGCTACCACAAATTAAGATATTTTCCTGATGTGACTTTTTTTTTTGTTTTGTTAAAAAATATGTGGAGTAAATGTGTTTTTTTTTTTAATTCAAAGTTTCAAACAACAAGATTCTTTTCTTTTCTTGAAAATATGTAGGAATCCAAACTAGTGTGTTTAGAGTCGGTTGACTGTGCAATCTCTTAGTGGCAACTGAACAGCTACAAAAAACTTTCTTTTTTTTTTCTTTTTTTTTTGAAAAATCTCCCCTTTTTTCCTGGTTTAAGAAGATAATAGTGTATTATCGCTCTGTAGCCATTAGATGGCAGATAAAAAGCCCCCTTTTAATATGTGGGTTTGATTTTTTTTCTTTTTTTTTCTGTTTTTCTTTTTTTAAAGCCCACACCAAAGAGGAGGGCACAAGGCAAAGCTGTATGAGTTATTCCAGAAACTGTGGAAATCACTTAGGGCAATAATAAAAACACTTCAGGGTACAAAAAAGCTTGACTACACATTTCAGTTTTCTTCCTCGAAAACACAAACATAAATTGGGCTTAACGCTCCTTTTTGTTTTCTATATGCACCTTGGCCTATGGCGTTTTTGCCCTGTGGCCCGCAGGGCGGTTAAGTGCGCAACACAATAAAACCAGTAGAGGTCCAGTTTCACTTCCCAGCTCTCCAGAGTTGGGCGAGTTTAATCTCAAAACTCCCACTCGACGGCCTCTTCTCGACTCGCGGCCTTCTCCAAGCGGTGGATGATGTTGTTCAAGTTTGCCGCTTTCTTTTTCCTCAAGGAGCTGTCTCGCGTGTTCCTGGAGCTCGCCGCCTCGGAGAAGCCGAACAAGCTCTGGAGAGAGTTGGCTTTCTGCGAGCCTGCGGCCGGCGTCGAGCTCGTACTTGGCACACTGGAGATTTTCTCTGAACTTTCTTTTGACTTGTAGGAGCTCTCCCCCGTAAGGACTGAGGTGGAGGCAGCTGAGGTAGATGCATCGCCTTCTGTGGCAGAGTTTGGCAGTGTCTCCAGAGCTTCTCCCGGGCGCTGCGACGCCGGCGGAGAGCTCTGGCGCGGTGCTCTGAGCCTGCCCTCGTCGTCGGTGTCCTCCAGGCTCTCCGCCCGGAACGGCTCCGCTTTCTCCGAAGACCTGGCGCCCTGCAGTGCCTCTTCCCCCGCTTCGAAAGCCGACTCCGTTGGCCCTCCCTGAGACTTCGTGGTTGCATTGTTGTACTCATCTGCCTCCGGGCCACTCGGCTTTCCTTCAGGTGGGCCTTCTGCGTCCACGCCATCGCAGCTGTCTCCCTCGGAGCTGTGAGCGGCCCGGCTGCTTCTGGCGGAAGGAGAGTCGCTCGACCCAGCCTGGCTCTGGCTCCCGGCTTGGATCTCCTCGATGAACAGCTCCCGGCGGATGCGAGACCTAGGAGACAGGGGAGAGGCATGGTGAGTCTGTCGGGGGTCACTCGGAACCGCCCTGCTCTACCAGATACGCCCTTCAAAACGCCCGTTCGTGAGACGCCGTTTGGTCTCAGCTACGGGGCAGCCGCGCCAAGCCGGGTCGGCGGAAGCGCTCTCACGCTCAAACCCAAAGGACCGACTGAGAAGGTGCTTGGAAGAACGTGAAATATCGTCAAGATGCTCTTAGTTTCACCTCTCCCGGCCACACGCCCGCGCGAAGCCTGCCGTGCTAGAAGAGATGCAGGCCGCAAACCCCAGACGGCCCCGGGGTCCTCCGCGGCGCAGCGGGAGGGCGGCCGGCGCAGACAAGCCACTCCTGGTAACTCTGCTTAGTGTTGAGAGTGACCCCTCTGCCTCCAACCAGGATTTTGTGTATTTATTGTAAATCTGACTTTGACCACTGCCCCTTCCAGTGACCACAGCCAACGTTATAGAATAAAGCAAAAATAGAAGCTTTATGAGGATAATCAGCTTGCACTAAAATGATTGATCAAATCCAATTTTCCCTTTGTTTGCAAGTTTAAACTAAGTAGCATCCGTAATTGTATGCCGAATTTTTACAGCACTGGACGTGTTTAAGGGACAGAGATGAAAGGCTCGGCAGTCTCCAATTCCAGAAGTCTGACATCAGAAACATGAAAATTTACAACACATTGGACCAAAAAAAGGGATGATTTAAAAAATATGAATACATTTCTAGTAGACCCAGAGGAAAGCAGTTTGTAAATATGAAACAATTCAGATTTCTTCTAGAAATGAACCACAATTTGCCTAAACAAAAGCCAAATAAGCAAAAAATCTGGACGACCTCCTTGGTATTCTCCTGGACACCACGGAGAAACAAAGATGAAACAAAGCCCATTGTTCTGGAACGGCTCTGGGGAAGCACAGCCTTTTGACAGGTTGTCAGTCTATGAGCAGGTCTGACTTCTGCCTCCTTTTTTATTTAAAACATCGATTTCAGAACATGAATGGTGACAAGGCGAGCGGTGCATTTCAAAGGAATTAATGCACTCCATGTGTGGTTAAAATTGCCCGGTGTACCACCTTGCACCTCCTATTACTCGGAGCGTGCAGCAATCCCCCAAACACACTGCCTTCGCCATTTAACTTGGTCCTTCCTCCATCTTTCTTCTCTGTTTAGGAGCTCCCTAATATATCCTCACAAGCACAGAACAGTTTATGAAAAAATCTCAGGGTCTAGGTCAACTCAATCCCTGCACCGCTCTGCCAGCAGGAGAGGTTATGACCACTGTTCAGGTCCTAATTTGCAACCAAGGGGGAACCTCAGTGACCTGTGGTCAGGGAGGAGACTACAGACACCGGCAGAGTTTAGCAAAACTTTATCCTTCAGAATGAAGGTAACGCTTTTGGTTTTAATCAGGGAGAACTGCTAAAGGTCTTGCAAATCACAAATGCTGTCCCAATCGCAGCTGAGGTCTGTACACATTTTTCCTTTTTCCCTAAATGCGCTACGAAGACAGCACACAATGGAAAAGGTTTAGGATAAATGCAGAACACCATCTGAATACTGCTTTTGAAGCTAACGATATTCTTGCCTTATGTGAAATGCAACAGAGTATTTCAGCAGTACTTGCTGACTCTACACTTTCGGAGGATTTAGGGGGTCTGTGATTCTCCCTAGGAGAGTATTATTCACCTAACAGAAGACCACAGGTGCTAACTAATTTTCTATTACCATTAATTGCATGCATCTGAAACGTCGATTATCAGGCTCTATTTACACCTCTAATCTCCCATGTACATTGATCCAGAACACACTGCTTCTGTAACGTTCCCCAAAACAGGAGAGGAAACGGGTAAGAGCTTCGTGCCTGCATGGCGTTTAAAATGCCTCAGCTCCAGCACGACACTGAATGATGACATGCTCACTGAGTATCTGGCCACAGCCCTGCAGAATACAGGTCGATGTCTGTGGAAATCCCTGGAATTCACACCCAATATATCGCTTCTGGAATCTATTCTGGCTCCTGATTAACATAGTAATTAAATCCCTATGGTAAAGAAGAAGTGGTGACAGCAGCTAGGAAATTCCAGAGAGCATTCCTCTCGGTGGAAGGTGCTGGCCTCAACACCAACACATCCTGCTGGCATTCATCAGCGCGACTCGAAGCATCAGCGTTCTCCCGGGGAGTTTGTTGAAGTTCCCTGTACAACTTCCTTCACCTAACTCCAGGAACTCACCTAAAGAAGCATAATGCTGCAGTTCATTGACTAACATGCCCACACCAAGAGCAGTGAAATTTAGCAACCAAGAGCATTAAATTACAATTCAAGAAAATTGGGTTTAATCCCTGATGTTTCTATAGTATCATCTCTATGACCTTACCAAGTTTCTGTGCCAGTTTCCACATGTGAAGCGGGACAGAAATCCCTACCTCCTGCTGTGTGGTACAGTTCTTCAGACAACGGAGCCTCAAACTCCGATGGGTCCTGCGTATGTGCTTCACTAATGCAAAGCAAGGCACATTCTTATTTTTACGTTCCGAGAGCTACATGATTGGTACGGACTCAAAGCCATCAACTTGTAGAAGTTTGCAGACATGTCAAAATCCTTCATACCTATTTATGGTCTGAAGTGAATTATTTCTTTGCCTGCTGAGGATTTTTTTAAAGTTTCTTTTGCTGCAGAAAATAAATGCTAGTGCTGACTTCCCACTGGGTGGATATAAAGGTAGGTTTTGCTGTAGCAACCACCTTTTTGGAAAGTGAGGTTTGGGCTGAATCCCAGAAGAAAAGCATCACTGTAACAGGATTCCCAAGAAACAGGAAGACAAACTTGTCCGTATCTGTACCCTGCCTCAACTGAAGTTACTTTAAAGAAAAATGTGTATGGTCTGAGGTGTGGAATTGCTTCTGTACAAAGACTCTTCTGGAGTCTGGAAAAGAAATGGCTGAGGGGAGTATAAAAGAGATATATAAAGTGAAGTGTGGCTCGGAGAAGATGAAGAGGGGAAAGACTACCCATTTCCCAGAACACGAGCCGCACAACAGTCAGCTCTTGTTCCCCTAGCAGAACATGTAACTTGTACCTCTTCTGCAATGTCCTGCCAACGGTTTAAGAGTACTTCGTGCATGAAAGCTAGGGAAGTCATTGTACAGAGGGAAGAAGCAGGCACGTGTTTTGATTTTTCAGTGGTGGCAACCGCTCAGAGCGCCCTGGGCTTCAAACAGCCTTGAAACATCTCTTTAAAGTCCCAGAGACTCAGCAGCACATCTGGGAGCAGGTCCAGATCACTCAGTGCTGCGAGGCTTGTGTTACCCCCAGCCTACAGCACCTTGTTCATACATTTTTTATTTTGTATACAACTGTCAGCACCTAGTCTACATTAACGTGTAGCTTGGTGTGGCTAAACGCGCTGATCAATCATGACTTGTCACGCGTTCTCGCAGCACGCCTAAACAGGAGATCTCATGATAATGAGGAAGATGACACATGCCACCAGTGCTCCCGCACTCGTCTGCGTAAGTGAGAACAGCACATTTTGCTGTCAGGCCGAAGGGAACATATTTTCATAGGCATTCCTCCAACTTGTGTATAATTGCCTAGGAGTGGGAATGGGAAGAGAGGCCTGCACTTGGAGAACTCGGAGCAGTGAAAGAGGCTGCATCTGTAGCGAATTCAAGTCAATGAAATTCAGTGCAAATATGATTACTCGTTGGTTATAATTTTTAAATTTTATATTGTTTAGTATAAACATTATTTTAGTATTGTGCACAATATTTCTGAGATATCTCATTAAACTGTGCTGCTTCTGCTTCAGCAACTACCCTGTTAAACGCTGAGAAGGGCCAAAGTGGAAAACACCCTTTAAATGTTAGCACGTTCCAAAAACAAACAAGTTTCGCAATCTGGACTAATTAGGAACGATACTGGCTCCAACTGACGGGGCAGAACAGTATTGTATCTGCTATCTTAACTGTACCTGTTCAATATTCATTAGCACAAATTTCTTGGAGAAAAGTCTGCTGCACTAATTAAGATTCCCAATCCCAAGCACAGTTGATAACATATTTACTCAAATCCTTATAATTCTTATATGTCATTCCAGCATTGTTTCTGTTTATCGGTGTCTCTAGGCCAAAACCTACTCACTGTTTCAAAAGCAGAACAGGTTCCTTCTAATATGAGAAACGACCTAAGCGGACCAACACCTTATTTCATTTCAGCGGGACTCAACGATTTAATCATAACAATGAAACAAATCCGTGGCCACGTCTGGCTGCAGGGTGATCGGTTCTCTGCCCTTCACGGCTGTGCGGAGCTTCCCAGAAATACAGCACACACTGTGCCTGTTTTCAGAGCTCAGTGACTCAAGACCTAAAAGCAAATCCTTTTTTTCCTCTTATGCAGGAAAATGATACAAAAATAGTGCAGTTCTGATGCCATCCAGTAGAGGACACTTCCAAGCACCCCCCACCAGCTGACCCGGGCGTAACACACACCCCCCCCCATACGTGTACATGTACGTGCAAGCGTGTGTCTGCGTGTGTGTGCATATGCAAGTAAGAAAGACCAGTCTTGCTTACTGCAATGGGATTTATAAATATTCAATAGTGGACATCTCTAAATCCACGCCCACCCCAAAAGCAAGACTTTCTGTTTAAAAGCACTACTAATATCAATATGTGAATATTGCTGTTCCTCAGGGATGACTTAAAATTAGTCTGGAGCATTAGCATTGCTGGTAGTTAGAACCTCCCTGCTGTCGAAACTGTTCATTTCATACAACCGCTCAATGCCAGCGGAAGCAGACACAGCCTGCTGAAGCACAGTAGCACCCTGCCAAAGCAAATAAAATCAATCCTTTGTGAGTAGGGCTCCTGGGAGATCTCATACCTGTAATTGTGGAACCAGTTGATCACGGTGCTGGTTTTCAAGTTGAGCTGCGTAGCGAGTTCCTCAATGGTTTTTGGTGATGGGTATGGCTTTTGCTGGTAGGCTCGTTTCAGAGCTTCCTTCTCTTCTGGTGCCAGCACCACCCGGGGCTTCTTCAGCTGGTGCTGCGGCTGCGGGCTGGCTCCCTGGCTATAGTCTATTCCAGCGGACGAGGACTCACAAGACTGACTGTCGCTAACAGAGCTGTGTCGCCGTTTCATGTAGGCTGAAAGAGAAGTGCATCAGATCAGCCCCAGCTGAATGCAAAATGCTAAATCAAGGAATATACGAGCTGTGGAATAAACGCAAAGATGACAGGCTGTAGATGCACGGATGGGCTATTCGGAGAGAAGAGGAAAGGGTATCAATCAGAGATCAGAGGAAAGCAAATGTGGGGAGGATGCAAGAGGCGGAAAAAGAAGAAAAGGGAAAGAAAAGAGGGTAAATTGCCTGGAAACCTGCCGGAGTTTTCTGCTTGTTCAATGAACATGGGACATGAATAACAGGGTTCAGTTAACACGACTTATTTCCAATTCAGTCCTTCGAGAGTGGCGAACTCCCACATAAGCACCTGATTAGGACAGTTGCACTTCATTTCAACTTAAATGATTTTGGTTGTTAAACACTTAAGGCGTACGCTAAGGTCTCTTTAACACCTAAGGTCTCTGAATTAAAAATATGACTGTGGAAGCTGAAGAGCCGCAGCCATGTCTCCAACACACGATGGCGCCCGGAGCCCAGAGATCCCAGCGATGGGCTCAATAACCTGTCAGGCATTTGCCGCTTCTTCCTACAGATCTTCGCTATAGCAGTGACAGGTTATGAAAGAAAAACAGCCCACAGCATCCTCCTCCCCTATGCAAGGCTCTTTCGAAAACGCATACTCTTTTTAAGAAAGCTCTTGCTGCGCCGCTGGAGCTCAGTGAGGCTGCTGGCAGAAGCCTGTGGTACCACCGCTGCCTCCCGTCCCTGACGGGGAGGGAATTATCCTGGCAAATTCTGCAAGGAGAAGAGTCCCAGCAAAGGCTGTCACTGACTTGATTGATCTACACTGGGCAAAGAGAGGTGGGATTTACTGCACCTGGCAGGATCATGCACAAGCATTGCTAATGAGGGGGCTGAAAATGGCAAATATAGATGAATCTTGTCAGTAAAATATTTAATGGCCTGTTAAATACCTTCTAGATATTTAAGAGTTTAGGTATTCAAGAGCTGCAATTTGATAACCTTGGCTATTAAATTCCAGATTACACCACCCTGACATCAATCTAGCAGGCACTGGATGTCCAGCAGCCAGGAGCTCCGATGAGAGCCAGGGACCCAATGTGTGGGGCACGTCACACCAATCAGCAACCAAATTCTTCAAAAAATAAACTTCTCTGTCCCTTCAGCTCTGCTCAGGGTGCACGAAGACTAAAAATTCAATGCAATCAAATAAACTGAAATGTTGAAAGCCCTTCTCACACAAGCCAACTTCTTCTGGCAGAGCTCCCTACGGGACTGGCTACGTTTTCTGTCTCCGGTGGGTTTCAGATCCTGTCCCCTACACAGTGGCACGTCCAGTGGGACCTTTTTACACTGTGTCTTACTGTCATCAAAGTGAATTTTGAACACGCTGTGTAACCTTTGGGGGTATCTGCATGGCCCTGATTTTTTTTTCCCCTGAGTATGACAGATTACCTGTGGATTGCCTACTGTGTAAGATCACTGATATGGAACAGAACATGAGTTGCTCATGATCCATCACTCTGCCATGATACACTCCTGCACGCCTTTGAAATACCCATTAAAAGAAAAGTTGTTTTTTTAAAAAAATAAACTTCATTTAAAAAATCACCTATCTAAGTTGTTCCAATCGGATGTAGAACCGCAAAATGACCACAGGCAAATGCATTATTTCAAGGTGACCTACTGGAAGTATTTTTGCAGCCTTCAAGGAACTGTTACAATCTTCAACCGTGGAATTAATCATTCCAGCAACATAATCTCACATTTATGTAAGGTCTTTAATCTCAAAGACTCTTAGGTGTTAGTTCAAACTTGCATTGACACGCAAACTACACATAAGGTTTCCTTGTCTCCTTTGATAGCACAACCAAGAGGGCTGAAAGACAGGATCTATCACGTCAGCAACGCGCAGCAGCTTAAAGGAGGCCATAAGACAAAACAGAACCTCGCATGGAAGATGTAAAAGGTGCTTAGGCTATCTCTAACTGGAGTTTCTGGAATTTGGTCAAGTGACTGAATCAACATGAGACACCCATGCATCAGGATGCTCTGAATCTCTGCTTTCTCTGCTCTCCAGAAATGGCATTTCTGGCGGGTCAGAGCTCCCATCTTTAGACTCCTAAGAACAGCACAGAGCTGTAATAGCTTGGGAGACATTTCACGCCCTATGCCTACCTCTGCTTTTGTAACCTCACACCGCGATCGCAGAAGTTGCAATAGCTTATTTGGGTCTCTCTCACGTGAATGGAACAAATGATATAAATGCATATATTTCCTTAACATAAAAATAAAGAGGATGTCCCACTGTTCTGTCATAACCACTTGTTTTTCTGGAGGATAATATATTATCAGAACAAATTTCCATTGGGCCAAAGGCACAATCCTGGCACTTTGCTGTGTGCTGAACTAGCACCTAAGCGTTAGGCTTTAATGGTGCTCTCTGGAAACTTTAGATGACGTTTATAAAAGCTTTTCCTTTTTAATTCTTATTCTAAACATATGTGTTGCATGTAGACAACATAAAGAGATCATTCAGCACATCTGCAGTGACAGCAAGGCTCAAACTGGAATCCAAGTCACAAACACGCTTGATTTTCAGAGAAGTTTGATTTTTGTCTGTGATCGGTCTCCACTTCTCAGGAGACCTATGAAAAAAAACCTACCCCGAATGTAATTTGGATAAAGGTCTAGATCTGCGTCTAAGACCAACTTGTCAACACCAGCTTTATCTCCTGAGTTTTACTACCTTTTTTCCCCCTGCTGTTGCCAACCCAGCATCACCGTGTCCCTTTGGGAAGACTTCCTGGCATGGGCTCAGCCATAGACACAGCAGACAGTATTGCAGAACTAGCAGCTGCCCACTGAGGCAAAACAGAGCCCCTTTTAATATAATTTTTATCTTATGCGGTATTGAACAAGATTATTAAAAAGCGAAATAATGGGGAAATAAAGGGAATTAAATTTTCTCCTGACAGCAGGCTTTGGTACTGTTCAGTGAGGAGTGTGACGTTACCAGCAGCACACACACCGGGAGGTTGTAAGAAAGAGGAATGAACTCTTCCAAGGCAGGAAAGGTGGTGCAGAGTGTCTCACCCTAGGGAGCGTGAACCCCCGGCTTCCTCCAAAGAGGTTGGTTAATGTACATTGCAAATTTTCAGAACCTCTTAAAATGGACATTTATAGCACAAACTTCAGACTTGCAGAACAGAAAAAAAAGATATACGCAGCTCACCTTTATCATAATTATTGATTTACTCCCCTAATAAAATGTGGCAGAGAAATAATTGATAATAATGTTTCACTGGTAGCAGATACAGTTGCATTGTTCTTTAACTGCCATTAGCTGAAGGGGAAGTTAAATTCCTAATGTGGCTCTAGAGCAATTGAAAAGGTTAAATCACAGGATCCTTTCCTGCATGAAAGGATTTTGCAGAAAATACAGGGTTGAATTCACTTTAGAGTGCTCTGCTATGAGGACAGCACTTGCACAGTTCAGGAGCTTCAGTACAGAGTCTCAAATGATTTATAGCCTTATCTCTATTCAGGTGCCATCTATAGAGCATATGTATTGCACGGTGTTTGATAAGAATCCAGTTTAGAAAATAGTTTTGAGAGGATATTGTCAGTACTACTTTTAAATTATTTTTATTTTATTTTCCTGCATTATGGGCGATATTCTCTTTGAGGCTATAAAAATTCAGCTAGTTGACAATTTTATTTCTGCCATATTTCTAACACAGCGAAAACCATCATGGCTCCCTTTGGTTTACAGTTGTAAGTGGGAAACCCAAGTGGATTTTACTCCCTGTGGAAGATCATACACAATTTGTGGTAAGATACTGCACTGCCTTATATTATACTAGTTACCATGACAAGGATTTGAATTTCTTCCTGAAAGCATGCAAGACTACAATTTTCCCAGAAGCTCCCTCACTGCAATTTTTAATATAATCACAAAGTTCTCGATCAAATGTGTTAATGCTTTCAGGACATCAGTCAACAGCAGCGCTTTCAGTGCACACGATTAATGCCGTCTGTACTAATATCATTAAGGGATAGCTCAAGAGATGTATATATCATTAATTAGTTAACCGCTGATAATGGCAGCCTAAGAGTCTCTCTTGTAAAATCGCATGAACAGACTAAAAACAGGGCTCTGAATAACCCCTGGTTTTTAGTAATGAATTTAAAGTATAGAGAGTAGGGTGAATTTTCAGGATATGCTCCTTACTAAGATACCCAGTAACAACTTAGATCTCTCACAGGCACATACTCATGACCCAGCCGTTTATGCAAGCATGTATTAACACAATCACCTTCCCCCATCCCTATAAAGGCTACAAATTTAATTATTCTCAAATAGCCTTTTATAAAGACTGCATTTTTCTTTCCTCCTAGCGACCATCAGTGCAGGACTGACAAGAAGCTCTCTCAGGAATCAATGCACAGTTCTTCCAGCCCAACATCTGTGACCAGCTGCAGCACTATTAACTAATAACCCAAAGCCAGCTCCCAAACTCACATTTCTCATTTGGTAAGGCAAGTTATCAGTGATACACCAGGGTCTCAGTAATTAATCTATAGGAGAATATAGCAATGATTTCACGACAGCTGGTGAATATTCAGGGTTTGGGGTTGTTTTTTTATTGAGTGGGTTTTTTTTTTTTAGATGTATCTGCTTGAGCTAACATCAAATCAAGCTATGAAAAAGCTGTCATGAAGTCCTTTTGCATCACCTTCATAATACTGGATCAATGCTGCCTCTGTACTATTCATGCAGAATTATAAAAGACATGGTCATCTTTGAAGTAACGGAAAACATGAGTCAGCAGTCTGCTCCGAGTTACCTTTTTTCTCCATTCGTTTCATATCCATCAGCTTCTCCACATTGTTGGGATCGTTCAGCCACAGCTGCATGCGGACAAAGGGTTCTCGGCCCTTCAAACTCAGCTTGTGCCAGGGCTTCGGGCGAGCCAGAAGGTCTGAGACAGAGCCTTGTGTTAGCCCTAGGATTGTCTCCCCAAACAAACGCTGACCTAATATGAAATTGAAAATCGCATGAATTCATTCAGCTAAGAGACAAGGCTAATTAAAAAGACAGAACACGTCTATGAGATCATTCGTCAATTATTCTTACTTTAGAATTGCTTGAAAACCCAAAAGAAACATTTAGAAGAAGAAAAGCTCTCCCCCCAACTAACGTGTAAATATTGAGCTTTAGTTTAATCCTTAGGATCTGACTGTGGCAAAGAGGGGAGCTCAACACCTTTGGGGACCGGGACCTTACTTACAGTGACACAGTGTGCAAAAAATAAAATTAAGAGATTAAAAATACACTGAACTTTTAGCTAAGCAGGCAACTAGTGAGAGCAGTGAGGCTACTTAGCTCTTATGCAGGAGGGTAGTGCAACAGATTTGTTCCAACAGGGCAATCCAAACATTTCAAGCAATCAATGAACCAAGACCGATGCAACCCTCCATTCAGCAACGGTCATGTCAGCGTCCTCAAAGACACGGGTACGTATTTTCTGTGTTGTACTATCTGTAGTGTTCTAACTGTGTCTTACCAACTAGAAATCATCACATTTTACAATATAACAGCTTTTTTTACAGCCTCTACAGTACCTGTAGTTAAGAGTACTTAATTTTAGTTCTCTTTCAAAACGCTGTTGTCTAGCAAGGTAAAAACCGCACATGTTTTCCAATGTACAGCATTTGTACGTGCATAAGTTAACGTTAGTTTTACATGGTTAAGATCTAACTTTGCAAGGACTGTGGAAAATGCCTGTGCAGCTGAAACTCAACCATACAGCTAGTTTTCTAAAACCCTTCATTTCAGTGTTCTTCCTAAGCTAAACTGCCTTGATATGCAACAGCTTTTGTTACAAGACAGAGCCTGAAGTCATCTGAGTCATCGCCGGTGATTTCCGATAGAAGTGCAGCTATTATGGATTTTCAAGGTAACCCAAAGCACTTTCCATACTGATCAAGTTTAGGCCTCAGGGTCTCGTCCCTAGCTTTTGAATGCCCTCGCTAACACAAAGCAGAATGCTTTTCCTTCACTCCCCAGCAATGCCAGCAGTCTTACCCAGTGGCACCAAACAGATCCCCCGGGGACAATGCGGATGCGTGGGGGCTTGTGCTCCTACAGCTCTGCAGGACATGCCCGCACTTGCAAAAGCACCATCAGCTCTTGCCTTCACAGCCTCATCTGATCCTGCCACAAACAGCTTGTGGAAAGTACATAAACCCCTTCTGCTTGCTTAATTCCATGAACCTCTTCCTCCTCTTTCAAAAACACCCCAAAACCTTCCACCTGACCATTTTTTTTGCCTGTATGGGGAGAGGAGGGAATGTGGGACCAGTTAAGAAGCTGCAGAACATCCCATTCAGATGCATGGGACAGGTGGGTCTGAAAAGCTTTTGGAGGAAGCAGCCGAGATAATGAAAGGCGGAAAGGGGAAACGAGGACAGGGCTAACATGACAGAGTCTGCTAGTAAGCTCTAAAACTAACCCTAATGTTAAAACTAATGGTCCTTACAGACTGAACAGAAACCTAAATCCAGAATTCGCTTAAGTTCCTACATAATAAGTGATTTTCAACTACCCTCCATATCAGGAAAATCAGAAAAAGAAGTAATTCAGGGCCAATTGGAGATCATGCGCATTGCAGTTAACCTACTCCCTGCTTCTGTTTACAAACATCAGTAAGGCCTGATCCATTTACCTTTAAACCTGCCAGCTACTTGCCAGATAAGACAGCTACTATAAAATCTTTTAATTTGCCTTTGTAAATAACTTTCCTTCAACGTTGCCCACAGTTTCTAACCGCAGGCTGTGCTCAGGCTGCAACGCGAGCAGCGTTTCTTCCAGCGGCTGCGAGAGGCTCGAC